GTGTGTGTGTGTGTGTGTGTGTGTGTGTGTGTGTGTGTGTGTGTGACCTGGAAAATAAAACTATTGCCAAATTATTTTATTTAAAAAAAAAATTTTTTTTGCAGAAACAAATGTAAAAACACTTAAACACACCTAAAAAGGTTTCAACATTGTACATCATACAATATGTTGAAGAGGAAACAAAAGTATTTGGGAAAGGATTACAAATACAAAATCCAATAAAATATCTTCTAAAGTCTGTCTCAGGGTGTTAGTGTAAGATAAGCAAATCAGCTAAATCTAGCAATGACTGGATTGGCTATTTGTGCTATCATGTTGTCACAAAGTATTTGAATTCCAATGCCCTTTTCAGTGCACCTGGTCTATATGTTGTGTGAAGATTACTCAGCTGTTTGAGGTGTGCTGATCTCATTTTGATGACTTAAATTACATCACACAGTTATGAGTGAAAGAGCCATTCTGAGTGAAAGATAATGAGAATTATTGCTTTCTTGCACAGTGGTTCTGGTTAAGATAGCCTAATTAGTTTATGGGTAGGAGTTTTATTTGAATTTTTTTTTAAACGACATGCCTTTAAGGCTGCATAATCGCAACTAAGTACTATCTGGTTTAAGCTTAGATATCTATCTTGCTTTAGAAAAGCCAAGAATGAATGAATGAATGATGCAAGTTACTTGTCAAGAAAATGAATTAGCAAATTGAAACCAAATTAACATATCAGGTCTATTTAATTTAATTGAAGGTTGTTTTTCCTCCAGTTTCCAAGACCATGAATGCAGTATGAAGATTATTTTACAGATTATTTTACACCACATGGGGGCATTTAACATCTTGTGAAGCATATGCTCTCTATCCCCATAACTGCTTCGTTTTTCTGGGTTTGCTGAGAATGCAATCATTGTGAAACATGTTCTTAAACTCCTGTTAAAACAGGCTGGAATGTTGTGACTGTTCTTCGGTCGGACAAACTTCCTTATAGCTCTATCAAGAGAATGCCCAACAACAAAGGACTATTCGTACGCAAATGTTCCCTCGCCGAAATTGAAGGCGTGACTTAGCTGCTGGAACCCCGGCCAATGATGCAGCCGCGTGTCCCTTCAATCACCTGAGAACAAACAGATCACGCTTCTAACTGACCAATCACATGCGCCGCGATCCTGCCACCATACATATAAATCAGGCTGACAGCCCAAGCTCCTGGTCAGAGAATGAGAGAACACCCAACACAAAATAATCAGTCAAATAACTGGACCTGCCGGTCGGATATTATACATCTTAATTTCTGTCGGTGGCCAGGTACGTAGCTTTCTTTTATTTATCAGACTGCATTTGTGTGCAATGCACGTGTCTGCTTTTGTGAACGTCAATTTGGGATTATGCGACTGCATTCTTTTTTTGATAGCGAGTTCATTTGAAACCGAATTGACTTGTTGTTTTGTGAAATCGCCGTTTATCAATATTTCACGCTGTGATGTAATACTGCCGCGCTGTGAGCATGGCTACCGGTTGCTATCTATGTAGTCGAGGATGCGCAGGAAAGCTTCGAGTTGAATGCTTGTGGCTACTTTGACTTGTTTGTTTGTTTGTTTGTAGAGCAGCGATGATGCTTTTTGCATTGATCTACTGATTTGTGCGATCAATACTGATTTCCATGCTGATCGAACAACCCTTTCACAAGTGAATGCAAGAGAATTCCATCTGGTCTGGTCTTTCCCAACCCCTTTTAAACCCGATTTGTAAAGCTCAAGGCACATTTTGTATCTTAATTATTGTCTGATTTTTTGTTTTAACATGCCATACTAAATATTCACTGGGGTACACAAATCCCTGGTTGGGAATAAAAGGATTATTATCCAATCAATGCCGTTTGTTTTATTAGTGACAGGCCTCTGTGTTGAAATTGATTAAATTAGCATGTTTGTTTGTGCTTAAGTCTTTTACCTTAACTATTGGTCCTTGTGCTGTATGTTTTGATGCTTATGCAAGTGGCTTCATATTGAAGGAGCAACAATATTTTCAATGTGTTACTTCGTAGTGTTGTAAAATCTGTTTTCCTTCTATTTAGGTGTTTTATAGTAATAAAAATGGCCACGTCTGCCAGTGCTCAGTTGAGTAAAGTGGTAAAACGGCAGTATATGGAACTGCCTCAGGGAGACAACGTACAAGCCATGTATATCTGGATTGACGGAACCGGAGAAGGACTGCGATGCAAGACCAGGACACTGGACTCCGAGCCTAAAAGCATTGAAGGTAAGCTAGACAAAGCCACATCAATCTACATTGAAATTGATATATTTCAATTTAAGTCTGGAAATTCTAATGGATCCGGTTTCGTTCTTCAGATCTTCCTGAGTGGAACTTTGATGGTTCCAGCACGTATCAATCCGAAGGCTCCAACAGCGACATGTATCTCATCCCCTCTGCCATGTTCAGGGATCCTTTCCGCAAAGACCCCAACAAATTGGTCTTGTGTGAGGTGCTCAAGTACAACCGGAAAACTGCCGGTACGTTTGTTTGAGAATAAAATATCATCTGTGTTTGTTTGATCGGGGTTTGCTTGAAGACTTATAGCTTGTCTGGTCTCGAACACAGAAACCAACCATCGTCATACATGTAAAAAGATCATGGAAATGATAGATCATCAGATCCCTTGGTTTGGCATGGAGCAGGAGTATACCATCCTGGGTACCGATGGACATCCCTTTGGTTGGCCCTCCAATGGGTTCCCTGGTCCCCAAGGTAAGGAGGGCTCATCATAATTGGTCATATCAATGATGTTCTCAAGATGTCTGGTCATAACATGCTGCTCTGATATCTACAGGACCTTACTACTGTGGAGTTGGAGCAGATAAAGCTTATGGCAGAGACATTGTGGAGGCGCATTACAAAGCCTGCCTCTATGCTGGTGTGAAGATCTGTGGAACCAATGCTGAAGTTATGCCAGCTCAGGTAACCTCCATTCCAGTGTGTTCTGGAACAAACACTACAGGCAGCCATTAAGTGTATTAAGCCATCTAAGATTACCCTTTTGGAATGTGACCTTGATTCTTCCATTAATTCTTGATTAGTTTTAACATGGCTTTTATTTTCCAGTGGGAGTTCCAGATTGGCCCCTGTGAAGGTATCAGCATGGGAGATCACTTGTGGGTAGCTCGTTTCATCTTGCACAGAGTTTGTGAAGATTTTGGTGTGGTAGCCTCATTTGATCCTAAGCCAATCACTGGCAACTGGAATGGCGCTGGTTGCCACACTAACTTTAGCACCAAGGAAATGCGGGAAGATGGTGGGCTTAAGTAAGTACTAATAGGCTTTTTTTTTTTTGTGTGTTTTTTTTTTTTTTTTTTTTTTTTTTTTTAATTGGTTGCAAATGAAAATCATAAATGGCTGGCTTTGATTTGTTCATGATTTTTTTTTTACATTTTTTAACAAGAGTATTAAACTATTGTTTTGTATATCCTTAACTAGATGCATTGAGGAGTGCATTGATAAGCTTGGAAAGAGGCACAACTACCACATCCGTGCCTATGATCCAAAGGGAGGCCTGGACAATGCTCGCAGACTGACTGGCCACCATGAAACCTCCAACATCCATGAGTTCTCTGCAGGCGTGGCGAACCGTGGCGCTAGCATCCGCATCCCACGAACTGTGGGACAAGAAAAGAAGGGTTACTTTGAGGATCGCCGCCCATCTGCCAACTGTGACCCCTATGCGGTCACCGAGGCCCTGATTCGCACATGTTTTCTAGATGAAGAGGGTGACGAACCTGTGGACTACTAGATCTCTCTTCTCCTGGACTGAACTTTCCTCCCCTTCTTGCCATAACTCCATTTTCTTTCTTTTTTTTCTTGGCCATCAAGCCAAATTAGTACTGTATCTAGTTTTCTATCAGGGTGGTTCTAACTTGGCATTTTAATATCGCTGAAGTTGACTGGTCAACTTAACATTTTAAGATTAAATGTGAAGTTAACCTGATTTGACTGGGGACACGGTGTTGCAGGGCATGTTTTTCCCCCTCCCGCCTTCCCTCATTTTAATTGTTTCTTGGATTGGATGTTTAACATTAACGTTGAAAGCTCTCTATGATCCCATGACTCTACCATTTGGTAATTAAGATGGACTGAAAAGTGACTCAAGTGCACAGAAGAACCTAGGGCTGCCAAGGCTAGACATCTAATTTCTTTTAAACAATAGCTAGTTGTTGCGCATGTTGACTTGATTATTCAAGTATGTAATGTTTCAATGCGTCTTACTGACAGTGTATTAATTGGCAAATTTTGGTATCCATTTTGACTGTACACACTACACTGTTCTTGTTGTGCGGTACACTTCACCGTTGAGGTCCAGTAACTGTCCTGTTTTTATATTTGTGGAGCTGTTATTTGTCATGTTAAATCCCTGATTCATCAAGGATTTGATCTTGTTTTTGTCTACTACTATGACGTAACTGCACCTGTTTTGGTAAAAACCTTTAAGTTGCTAAAAAAAAAAAAAAAGGAGACTTAAAAATTTATTTTTTACCACAAACGTGTCTTGTGTGTTTCCTCCTTTACAGTGGTGATGTCTTGCTTGTACTTGCCGATCTGACTCGTATGCTATTTTGGCATTACAAGATCCCATGTTTTGAAAACCGGGCAAGATGAGTATAGCAAAGCAATATACAAAGACTCAACATGGATTCCAATTTGAGATTTTCCTCTCAAAAATACAATCCACCCTTAGTCCTAATTAACTGAAAGCTTGGCATTATTAAACACTCATTTTAATAAAATAAAAAAAAATGTTAAGATTTGAATAGCAAGTTTTTATTGCCATTGACATTTGATCTTGTTTTAAGCATAAACTTCCTTTAATTTTGCTCAATATTACAGAAAAGACTTCATATTATAATTTTGCATGCCATGACTATGAGTTTAAGACTCCGCTCCAATTTAGGACCTTCTAAGGCTATAATTTGTGGAAGGGCAAGTTAAGACTTAAGACCTACAGAAACCCTAATAAGGGAGCATAAATCTATGCAGCGCATTAAGTATTTGCAAATTAATGTCCAGTTTTGCAAAAAAAAAAATGTAACATGCAAAACTTAATTTTTCAACTTTGTCCTAAACTTCCATTTACTTCTGAATCACAGGTAAAAGATTATTATTTGTTAGCTTTATATTTGGCAAGTATATAGATCCAGTACATTTCAAGTATATCTATAAGGATAGATCTATATAGTATATAGATCCAGGATTTTCATTTTAGGGGGTTCTGCTTTTTATATATATATATACCCTCATCGTTTAGTATATGCGTGCTTCATATGCACTAGAGGAAACTTGTGGTGTGATGAGGGGTGAACGAAGCGAAAGCTTAGGCTACAGTAGATGGGGAACCGATTGCTCCCCCATGATATTTTGTAAACTGTATTTATGACAAAGAACCGCACAGATGCAGATACACACACCTATCCTCTGTTTCTCGCGCTGCGCCGCCGCGGCCGGTCTGCGGATTGAAAAAGAACGCGCTGAAAGACGGGGAGGAGCCGATCGAAGTCTGCCGCCGTTTTCATATGAAATTTAAAGGGGACTGAGGTGATCACGAATTCGTGTACAGTTTACAGGAACTAATGGCAAAATTTTAGGGGGGTTTGCACTTCTCGGCCACTGTACTATAGCCCTGCAGTGTATTGGTCAACATAGAGATTAAAATGTTTTCTTTCTGAAACATAACAAACTATTCAAACCCACATAGCAGGGATATTTGCAGCTCAACTTTTGCAACATCATCAATAAACTGCTCTTTATCTGTTTGCAAGGAGCCCATAAACACGGTTAACAGTAAAGTAACATTCACTAACAGCCTGATTACACGCTGTTTGTTGGCTCTCACACTGGGCGTCTCGGTTTCATGCTATGAAGTGCAGGGACATCCAAGCTTTCCTGGGACAAAAATATTTACTTTATGTGTTGTTGTTTTTGAGCAGGATTAACAAATTTGTTGTGGAACCTTTCACCTACATTCCCATGCTTAATGTTTTCTTTCTGAAACATAACAAACTATTCAAACCCACATAGCAGGGATATTTGCAGCTCAACTTTTGCAACATCATCAATAAACTGCTCTTCATCTGTTTGCAAGGAGCCCATAAACACGGTTAACAGTAAAGTAACATTCACTAACAGCCTGATTACACGCTGTTTGTTGGCTCTTACACTGGAACAAAGGGGCGTCTCGGTTTCATGCTATGAAGTGCAGGGACATCCAAGCTTTCCTGGGACAAAAATATTTACTTTATGTGTTGTTGTTTTTGAGCAGGATTAACAAATTTGTTGTGGAACCTTTCACCTACATTCCCATGCTTGACAGACTGACAAGTCATATATAGCCTTGTGATTGGCTCCCCAAAGCGACTTCCAACCAATCATAAATTAGAATGGTGTTTCTGTCCGGGTGCTTGGGAAAAGTTGTTGCTGGGAAGTTGTGCTTAAGTGTGGAGTTAAAATAGACTTTGAAGAAGTCCAGTGCTTTCTTGTTATGATATTTGTTTTTAATCCAAAAGACTTCTCAGAATCAACAGGTAAACTTTGATAATTTAATTTAATATTTAATCATTACATTTTGAGATTGGAACAAATGAGCATTATATGATTTTGTAATCATGCTGAAAATTTTTTTGTAATCAGTCTGAAAAAAATTGCAAGCTAAGGATAAAAGTGGCTTGTTTTGCTTATATATATATACAGGTTTAACTCAAATGAGCAATAAAATATGCATATGATAAACCCTAAAAAAGTGATATTTTTAAAATAAAAGTATTAATTATTCAATTCCATTTATTTACTGGCACAGACATTTCCATTTGAGTGCTACTCATGCATAAATCTGAACATAATCAATGATTGTACAGTAGGTGTTGATAATGTAGTTTAATGGAGATTATTTCTCATTAGCAAATAATAGCATGGCTTGCATCTGCCATGAATCATGCAGAGAGAAGCACTTCAGGCTGCTGACCCAGTTTCCTTCCTGCCTTTAAAAACAGACAGTGAAGACAGGAACATGTTTCAGAAGGATAATGATGGTCATTTTTAATTGACCTTTTTGTCTGCTGTCTTGTAACACAATAACTCCTCAACCAGATCTGTGGACATACGCGATGCTGCAGGCATGCAATGTTGTTGCAATGTGCCAGTGCTATGAAAAAACAATACAATCATAAACAAATGAGCAGTATGCGTTGCTTAATCTTCTTCAGATGCACCATGTCTTTCCAAATATCACTTTTGACCCTTAGATAACAAGCTCTCTGAGACCCGCCACTCAACAATTGTTTGGTGGGGAGGGATGATGCTCAGTTGCCATGGCGACCACCGGAATGCTCAGGCTGAACCGAGCTGGTTCTAGTAGGGAGAGGAAAAAAACATGGTTATGCAATCAGAAGGGAGACACAATCACCAGGTACAGGAAACAAAGCAGTACAATTAACCTCCAGTTAAATAATGACATTTGTTACACTCAACAACTGGATTATCCAATGCCTCAAAAAGGGCATTTTTATTAGCAACATGCTCTTTTTCAGAAATACTTTCATTTGCAGCTGCTGGTATTATTCAACATATTCAATATATTATTGAATATTATCCAATATATTCAACTGCATCATTGGTGATTGATTGACAAGCAGTGCAGCCACTTTTGAGGTTATATAACAGCAATCACACTGTAAGTAGGCTATTGCAGTATTTCTTTGTTAAGCATGCTTGAGTTTCAGTGAATATAAGTAAATATATATTAGGGATGCAACAATACAGTTAGCCCACGGTTCAATACATATCTCTTTTTTTTATACCACGGTTTTCTGTTCGGTTTAATTTAAAATTTAATTTAAAATGCGATTTTTCCAGGAAATCCCTAATATGAAGCAAGGCATCACTATCTCTGTGACTAAATAAAAAGAATATAGAAACATTTTTAATGATGAAACGTGAAGACAATAAACATTAGATTGTGACAGTATATGGGTTTTCTCTGTTTTCTCTGTTATCTCTGGTATTTTTGCATCCATTAAGTATATTTATAATTCATTGTTAATCGGCATAGCCTTTATTACAGTATAGAATATGATTCTGCCTCATTCTGTGATAGCAAGCCACATCAGATCAGAAAAGGAAGTTATTTCAAACATTCGACTGATGTTGTGGAGTAAAAAAAGTTATCTTTTGTTGGACAACGGGTCTAGAAATGCTTCACATTGCAAGTCATTACAAGGGAAGATATTTGGCGTGTGTTGCTTTCTCAAATGCACATTATAAACGAGGAGGAGTTTCCTCATCTCAGCATGTAGACTCACGACGAGCACACAAACAAAGCCAATCCAGAGAGAAATAAAATGCACTGAAATTAATTAAACGCAAACTGAAAAAAATGCAATTCACAAGTGCGTATTGAACCGTGGATGTCGTGCCGAAACAGTTCAATATTATATTAATAATTGTGGCATCCCTAATATATAAGGCCGCATATGGCAAAAAAAAAAAAAAAAGAGAAATGTAATAAAAAAAGAATGAAAGTGATTATTGCCCAAAGGCTGAATAAATAGAGGGGGTAATGAAGCAAACTGAGCACTACATACTGGGTTTGTGGACTGGTTGTGACCAGCTCTTTGACTATGGCTGTCTGTAATCCTGTGAATGTCAAGATTATGGATTTTGGTTGTGTTTCTTTCATTTCCTGTTCTCCCGATTAGTTTTGTTCCTTGACCTAGTTTTCCTTAGTTCCCTTGTTTAGTTCATTCTGTTCACCTGTGTCCTGTTAAATAAGTCATTAGTTCCTCTCTTACGTTTATATAAATACCCCTTGTTTAGTTCTCTCAGTTGCCAGTTATTGTTTATGTCATTTGTTTGCCTTCCTCCTGGATTCCCTGCCTGTTTTCCTGTGGATTACTATTAAATATTGTGTTATTAATCTCCTGCGTTGTGCGCTTGATCTCCCACCAGTGAAAGTGAAAAGGCAGCGTGTAATCGGAGGTGGGAGAGGAGGGTATGGAGATAGAATTGTTGCATAATTCCAAATAAATAATTATGATCCACAAATAAATGTAAAGTTAGTTATTGTGTAGAGCGCTGGCTCAGAAGTCTGAAACATGTCCATTACTTCTTTATACCAAGACCCTATTAGGCCTGGAGACTTCCATGACTAGTTGTGTGAAAAGCGAGAACAACACCCCAGAGGTTGGAGCAACATTTGTGAAGCCTCATGGGACATAAATGCCCACAGCCACCCAAGCAGCTGCTAGTATGCTTAATTACAGCACCGGTTGCTGGCATCACAGCTGCACTAAAGATAGGGAAAAAACTGCAAAGCAACAAGTGTTTTAACTGTGGGTGTGAATACTTTCACATTACTTTAAATAAAAATCAATGCCATAAAATTACATATCCTTCTCTGATTCTTTCCTCTGATTTTCTGGATGTTACTATTTCTGCATGTATAGTATGAACATTTTCTGTACCATAGATGTTATATAACTATAGATGTTAATAAAGAACCTTTATTTTTTAAAGTGTATGAAATACCTGGATGGCTTATATTACATTACATGCCAAAATGAACACTAGGACAGGCATTTTCTGTACCATAGATGTTATATAACTATAGATGTTAATAAAGAACCTTTATTTTTTTAAAGTGTATGAAATACCTGGATGGCTTATATTACATTACATGCCAAAATGAACACTAGGACAGAATTCTACACAACAATGTATACTTTACTTTTCTGGGTATGGTATTTTACAATTCAATGTGCTTGACTTGATCATCTGTTTCCAGTGTAGCAAACGAAGAAAGTAATATTACTCACAATTTTAGCATATTTTTCTTGACATTTTTCTGATCAACTGCTAAATAATGAAATTTGATTTAAAAAACTAAGTGTTTATATTTCCAAGTTTCACCTACTGAAACAAACATGCAATATGGTGAAGTCATGTGACGACAACAAAATAGCATTTTGTTTGAAATGCTGCATAATTCAGTTTAGCTTCATGTTAATGGTAACCAATATACACTTAAGAAAAATGGTTCTAAACAGTACCAGAAAAGGGTTCTCCGGCTTGTAACAATAGCAGAACCCTTTTTAGTGCCAAATAGAACCTTTTTTATAAGTTTCCATATAGAACCATGCTTTGAAAATGCTTTATCCTCCTGAGACCCAGCTATGGAGTTTTTGCCTCTGTAGTGGACATTATATGTTAGTGAATTTCTCTGAGACCTCACATGTCACAGTTTTAAGTCTGGATGTCCTGTACAGAGCACATTCAGTGCTTTCTTCACAAAGCTTTTTATTTTATGAAGGCCAAAAGCAAAAATTGATAGTATGTGAGCCCTTCACAATCTTTAAAAAAAAATATATATATAAAGACATGGTTTTAATATTTTTTGTGACTGGGTATGTTTATACATAAACCCAAGTAATAATAAAAAAAAGCTAACAATATGACCTATAAATTAATCTCTTTTACTTAGTGGAGAAGAGGAGAGAAGTCTCCACAGCTTAGCAGAGCTGCACACTTATGTGACCAAAACTAAAAGAAAAAGTGATAAGAACATGTTCGTTTGGAAACCAGTTACATTTCTAAAGTTAAATTTGAATTTTAAGAATAAAATCATTTACCAGTTGAGAGTGTGTTGACAGTCTGTGTAGTTGGATCACTGAACTCCAGAAAATCAGTAATGATGTGTCATAAAGCAAGGCCAGACACAACGGGTAAGTGAAAGACAGGATGGTTTATTGAACAAGATGTGGACGAGTGGAACGGGTTAGGTTAAGGTAGGAGAGTCTCAACAGAGTGAAGGATTCCAGGGTTCTTATCCGAGTTCTGAGGGTGAGTGTCTGATGCCGGTTTCGTGGGAGATCGTGGAACAGCTTCCAATGAGTCATTGGAGGATCGTGGGAGAACCAGAAGGTAAGTCTTTCTAGGAGAATATCATATAGCGAGCCCAGAACTGTCCATAGGGGTGGCCAATAGACCGGACAGTGAGTGACTGTGATGTGTGTGTATTTGTAGTGTGGCTTGATTGGTGACAGCAGGTGCGGGTGATTGGAACTCAGGTGACTGTGATCGGGTGATTATCCTGGCTGGTGACTGCAGTGACTGTGATGAATCCCTGACATGATGAGCTTTGTCAGTTACAGATTTGAAAAACAAATGGGTGGGAATAAAGAACCCTAAACTCTAACACAAAGAACCATTTCAGCATAAAAGGGTTCTTTAGAATGCTATGATTCTGAATAAAACCATTACTGCATGTAAAGAACCTTTAAAGAACCATCTTTTTTTAGAGTGTAGAGTATGATACTGTGTGCAGAATTCAGTAGTAAGCTAGTATTGTATTCAGAACTTCAGAAGCCAATCACTCTTTAATTCTTTCAGCACTCATGCGTGATTGGGTCAGCCTTGTGGTGTGCTGCATAGATGTTCTTAGCCCTCAGACTCTCACCTGTCATGTGCTTAGCTCGAGCCTCTCTTTATGACACAGTGACACAGTTTTCACCCTCATACATACAGTAGCAACGAGAACTGTTGTTCTAACATAAGAGAGCGCAAACATTCCTTGTGGAGTTTCCTGAATTGATGAAAGGGGACAGCCCAACTCAAGTCAATTGAAACAGCCAAGTCAGAATATAACACTGTTTTCTGGAAAAGTTTGTGAACACTTCAGGCATGTTTTTTTTTTCAGTTTCTCATGCACCTGTTGAGCCATTGTTTATGGAAGTAAAATAATGTCATATGTCTTTGAAACAAAAAAGCATGTTGAATAGCACTAACTGAAAAAATAATGCATTGCATTAACAGTGCTTGCATTTTAATGCCTTGTATTTCCAGGGCTTGCATTTTAATAACTCGCCTTAGACAATACTTTCCCTAAGTCTGTACACTACACACATATTTGTTAAGAATAAAATTACAGTAATTCACCAAAATGGGGTTTTTCGTGTTCCAAATGTTGTATGTTTCTAGTATATTACTAGTGACCAGGCTGACTTGCTACAGTTGAAACTTTGCCAATATATTCCTCACTGTATATACAGTATATAATTATTCTTAAGAAATTACTGTAATTCACATAAAGTTTTTTTTTTATGTTCCAAAGGTTGTAGTGCATTCCTAGTGACTAGACTGATTTACTATAGGTAAGATTTTGCTAATACCTCCCTTGCTGTACATAAAGTACATCAATATTTTATAATACAACCTTTGGAACATGAAAAATCCCTTTTGGGGTCTTACAGATTTTTTAGTTTTAGTTTTAAATAATTGTGAATACGGTACAGTACCGTAAGGCAGATATTGGCAAAATATCACATGAAGTCAGTCTTGTAACTAGCAACGTACCTCAACCTGTGGAGCATGAAAAAACCCTTTTGGTGAATAGTTTAAAAAAAAGATATGTGTGTACTGTACATACTGTAAGGGAGATATTGGCAAAATCTAACCCGTAGTAAGTCAGTCTTGTATCTAGCAACGTACTACAACCGTTTGAACATGAAACCCCTTTCCAGGGATCTTTATATGTAAATAATTGTGTACTGTACATATATGAAGGGAGGTATTGGCCAAATCTCACCTGTAGAAAATCACTATAAGCAATACAAGCTTTATAATTTGGCAGTGTGTTATTTTACATTTTTATTAAAATACATTGGACGTTTTAACCCAGTCAGACGGCCCTTGGGTGCGATAGCGCGTCAATACTTTCTTCGGTTTAAATTTGCAGCAATAATACACCTAGGCGGTTTTGATCTCCTTTTTTTATGTCGATATAAAGTGGTTGCATATTGTTAAAACTAATCGCAGTATCGATATCTTTGTAGGACTGTCGACTCTATAGATCAGTGGTAAGGGAAAGCAATTATAAAGAAAATGCAGCCGTTGCGTTCTTCTGACCTCATTTGCTTGCCTGTATATAGTTTGCATAATCATCAATAAAGTGTATTCTGAGATCTGAGGTCTTATATCACTGTGTTAGTTCACTAAGGAGCATTATGCCTCTTTGGGGAATCCTGGAGTGTGACGCGAGGGGATTGCGCTTGCTCCATTTCTGCAGATCAGTTTTTGTAAATTAATGACTTAATGCACCTGTTGCTTTGGTCTTCATCAGCAGCTGCTTGCGCCACCTGCTGGTGAGCGACAGACAGCAGCTGGAGATCAAGCATCGGTGCTCAACTGCGATTCCTGCAGATCGCGGATGTACGAATTTTAACCACTGAATTTGTGGAAGCGAATTTGGAAAGTGAAATAAAATGGACCGAAATTTGCCTGTCAATTATTATACAACGTATTTTTAAACCGATTGAATATTTTGGAAGTGAATTCTGGAAGGTGATTATGAATTATTGAATTTTTAATTGTGAAAATGTGTGTGAAACGTTTTGAATTGAAATATTCACAGCTTAAATAAACAAGTATGTTAGATTTCAGGACCTGAAAATGCAAGCCCTGGAAATACAAGGCATTAAAATGCAAGCACCGTTAATGCAAAGCATTATTTTTTCAGTTAGTGCTATTCAACATGCTTTTTTGTTTCAAAGACATATGGCATTATTTTACTTCCATAATTGTTTTACCCTTCTTGAGCAAGCATGTTGTATGTACACTTTGGGGTCAGTAAGATTTTTTTCTTTTTCTTTTGCGTGAAACTGGTCAAATGTGACAGTAAAGTCGTTTAGAATGTTATTTTCACATATTCTGAAAATACATGAATTACATGCATAGTCGAATGATTTCTGAAGGACCATGTAACACTGAAGACTTGAGTAACGGCTGCTTTGTCATCATAGGAAGAAATTACATTTTAAAATAGAAAACAGTTATTTTGAACTGTAATACTATTTCACAATATTACTATTTTTACCTTCATTTTTGATCACATAAATGCAACCCTGGTGATCATAAGACACTTCAAAAACATTTCAAAACTTACCGACCCCAATCTTTTAAACAACATTGTATGTATGATATCAAGTGGACAGTGACGGGGCTCAGTTTTATCCCTCAGAGCAAAATTGAGGTATAAACTCAAGGATTCTGTTAAAGTACTACAGAATTCAGACAGCTGCGTGACCTTTGACCTGTGGGGAATCAATGCTGATGTAAAGGTAAAGGCCACACAGAACATGTGTGGAGCAGAGAAGATGTGTCTTCTGGTGTGGTTTGAGGGTCTAACATACTAAACCCAAAATAGCGATACAAAGGACCACATGTGAATCAGACCATTTTGACAGTGAGGTAATTTAATGCACCATTTCCCCAATTTCACCTTCAGCAAACAGGTCATCATTATCATTTGGACTTTATGGAGTATGATGAGAGGCAAAAAGGAATCGATCAAATAATAGGAGAAAGAAAACAAGTCTGTAAACAGGCCTTGAGTGGGCATTGGCTGAGACTGGTTCTGTTAAGTAACACGGGTGTAAAGCCACGTAACTATATCAAGGGTCAGACGCTTCGGTTGCAAGAATGGAGAGAAAGCACTGGCACTGAGGAACCAGGCATTTCCTGCTAATCACATGCTCAGTCTCAGAGCTCAGAGTCCTCCCTTTTGGTAAACCCTGCCCTATAACTTAAAACAGCACAGTGAGGGTCTCCATAACCCCTCCAAACCAGAGTTTGCTTAAAGAGAAGTGTATGTTTTGTTTTTTCCTTTTTTTCTGTGTCGTACAAAATGTTCTGGCCTTGAAAGAACCATGGCAGACTAAACACAAGGCTTTTATAAAGACTATTTGATAGTCACTGTATGTATGGGACACAGTAGTATTCACATTCTGGTATAATATTATTACATTTATGATTAGCATGATTAAGTGTGTAATATATATATTATATATATATATATATATATATATAAATTAATATATCTTATTTTAGGATATTTTTACTGAAGAAAAATTTTGTAATATGCATAAAACATCCTCATCCTCAAGTTTGTAAAATATGGTAAAAAATGTATTTAGCTTGTTGAGAATCCAAATAATCAGGCCAATAAAACATTTGCATGTGAATATATTAAGCTCCTCATTGAAAAACTATTCATTACTCTGTTGTTGAAAATGGCCTTTGACACTTTTAACCATGGAAAACCTCATATAATTGTCATATAATACACTTTATATGATTCCATTTTCGTTTTAGATAAGTGTAAAACTTCAATATAGAGCATCAACTCTCAAACCCACAAACCTCGAGCTGCTTTGAGTGCTATTCCAGTGAGCTGTACAGTTTGTTTGTGGTAAGAAGAATCAGTCTGTCGCCAGGTTACAATATTCTCCATGTGGAGGAAAATACCACGTCTTTACCCTTGAGAAAGCATAACCTGTGTTGCCATGATACATGGATATATCTTGCTATACAAATAGGCTGAATGTAACGGGGCAATTACTGTATGTATGATGTTCCTGATAAAGGCATACGGCTGTAAAAGACAGAACCACCACCACAGGTCTCTGTGATGTTCTGGTCCATAGATATGGCACAAGATCTTCCTTCACTGCAAGTCTACAGGATTTTTCACTTATTTCTTATATGCGACTAAAAGCATGGAATGACAAAAACATGAAACACAGTCAAATCCTTTACTGCATCATTGCTGCAGTACTTCCATCTCTGTTTCATTTGTGTATTTATAACAGCCAAAAACTGCAGTTTTGATTGACATGTCAAGAAAATGTCCCCAAAGACTCTTTCTCCCTTAATTCATTTGCACCGACAGACATTGCATGAAACAGCATGTGAATATTATGGTGCTGATGATCGACTTTTTGACTTGGAAACATCCAACTGACACGTGAAGGCATGGTTATTGTTTACCTTGAATGTGTAGAATTGGCAGGCTGCTGAAAAAACATCTAGAACACTGATAATCAAAAACTTTGGGCCCATTTTAAATAGCAGCCTCTGGTGGTGGGTCAGTGACATGACATTTGTGGAAATTATATGTTGTGGATTTAGCTAATGTAACTGATGCCATAACAATGTAGAACAGGTAAATATACTGTATTACAGTAGTTTTATATCCGTGGTAGTTAGCAGTTATGGAGTAAAACATGATAAGTGATCACATGACATGAATCAGGTCACCCTCATGACAGCCCTCCTGACTTGAGCTTAAGACAGCTTTACTGCTTTTACAAGATAAGATGTCTCTGTCATGTATGTACTGAACTGTCCTACTGTCCTATATATATTCTATCTGAATATATATTCTTATGCAATTGATTTCTGTCATTAAATTTCAGCCATTACTCCAGTCACATGATCAGAAATCATTCTAATATTCTGATTTGATGCTCAGGAAACATTACTTTCTCATTGAAAACAGTTTTTTCTGGTAATTATTATTGTGGAAACTGTAATACGCTAACATTCAAAAGTTTAGGTTAAGTAAAGATGGATTAAACTGATCGAAAGTGAAAGTCAAGACATCTATATTGTTACAAAAGATTTCAATTTCAAATAAATGCAATGAAAATGCTATTCATTTAAGAAACGTGGAATAAATGTAGAACAATTATATTAGGCAGCTAAAAAAATGTGTTCAACTTTGACAGTAATAAGCTCCATTAGTATCTAATAACTGATCATCAATAATAACTGAGCTCCAAATCAGCATATTACAATGAATTCTAATGGAGCACGTGACACTGAAGACTGAAGTATTGCTGCTGAAAATTCAGCTTTGCCATCACAGGAATCAATGACATTTTAAAATATATAAAAAACAGTTATTTTAAATTGTAAAAATATTTCACAATATTACTGTATTTAGGCTACTGTATTTTTGCCGTTTCAGTAAGAGACTTCTTTCAAAAATATTTAATAAATCTAAACCAATCCCTAACTTCTGAACAGTAGTGTAAATAAAAAATATATAAATATACTAAAATATTTATAAATGTTGCATAATATATCATCATACATGCAGGTCAGAAGTTTTAAAGTGCATTGGGAATTGATGTGCTTTATGATACTTTAAATACCTCCACAAGAAGATTAAGCCATTGCTTTTTTTATGTCAGAAAAAGAAACAGCCTGTGACCCAAAGCTCGCAGTAATAATTTCACAGCCAACTTGCCCTCTGCCGTCCCTCTTGTGATTAAAGGTTGACTATATATCTTATGGAGGGCGCAGCTGAACTCGGACAGTGCCTTGCGTCTGCTGTTCTCTGCTAATCCGTGTAAATCCTTTATTTTCCTCAGAACAGAGTGGATGGACTTATATCTGAAACACAACCGAACTAGGCTGAGAGGACAGCGTAAAAGACAATCTGTTGAGTTCAGAAGACGTTCATGTCTGGAATCAACAGTATAATCCTGAGCAAGTAATCAAAAAACAGTGATGCATGAAAGACAGAGAGTGATGCAAGTGTCCACAACTGTTCATTGAGAGATTGCATCTTTAGGTGGGAAACAGCTGATTAAGATTGGTGTCAATGTGAATGCACTGCACAGAATCTGTACACGCTGATATGGGGGCCACTGCTAAAAGTATATGGCCCACCCTTATAATTCCAGGCCCTGTGAATTCAAGCAATGGCCCTCCCTTATGTCTAAACTCTGTTTATTTCGCAATTTGATCCATGCAGTCACACACATGGAAAATGTTTGCATGACATTCTTGGGGAATCTGTTTTCGGTTACACATCTATAATGGTAATTTGAGAAATAGTGAGCACTGAATGACTGTGCTATTCATGCACTCATGCACTGAAAAACAAGCACACACAGGCCATGTTGATCATTTACCATTGTAAATGAAAGTTTTATTGTCTTAGAAGTTTAAATAAGTTTAAGTTTAAATGATAGAGACATTTTCTTGCTTGAAAGCTTTGTACTACCCTTGTAAGAAATAAGTGCACTTAATTTCAGCGAATGTGTATTTCGAGGGGTGAGAACCAGAAGGGAGTAAATGACATTTTTGGTGAAATGGAGATATATATATATCAAATGAAAGCTCTTAATGAGCTCTTTCTACTGGCAAAAGTACTGTCATCCATGAGTGTACATATTTTTATTACAAACAATTGAAATCAGTACATAAAGTCAGATCAAACTATGGTAACATTTTTGTTTTGGCTCTCCTGTGAAGTTGGTGAAATGTCCCTAACGCCTTTCTGGTTCTCACCCCTCGATTTGTAGTGTACTTCAAATCAAGTGTTTTTAAACTGTACTTACAGATTGAAATAAAATGCCACTTAAGTGTGCTTAAAGTGAGCATACTTTCATGACACCTTCAAAAAAAAAATGTTAAATGTAAAATTAAACTCTTTATTTAAAGTACATTTTACATAATTTTCATGTGTTGACTAACATGCTAAAACACATATGTGATTATAATTTGAACTATAGTGTGTTTTTTAATATTACATTTAAAGTTAATGTATTTTTACTAAAATACATTACTAAAACTACACTGTATTATTTCCAAAATAAGTACAGAAATCAGATAAATGTCCTGTTTTTAAGACTGAAAATTCAAAAACGTTTCCAAGATATTATGAACAGAATGGTTACAGATTAGCTTATTTGCATGACATCAAACGGGAGTATGCAACACAATGCACAATGATATTTTAATCAGTGTACATGTCCAAACAGGACAAACTTTTCAATAAGGAAACAAGAATGACGTCAGTTGTGCTAGACTTTACGTTAATGAAGTTTAATACAATAAATTCCAATGAAGAATTTAATGGCTTAGGGTCAAGTCGTAGACAACAAGTTATGTGACAAACGAGTTTTCCGCATGTAAAATAAACGTGTTATTTATTGTTATTTGACCACTTCAGCTTTCACGTTCAACAAAAGAAAAAAAAAAGCTGTGTCAGGCATATGAGTGGCTTTTAGATAACACATGAGGAAAAACATGAATTCCTTTTAAATTGCTCACTATAATATTAAACCATTGAACAGGTCGGGAAAAAAAATCATTAAGCAGTTTGGTGTGACTCATCAACCCACACAGTATCTATTTTCCCTGCACTGTTATGCAGTTCATCCAAGCTGTTGTATATTTTATTGTGTCTGGAAACTCATCTCAGGACAATTCTGATGCACAATCAATATGAAGCCACTGAAAGTCTTATGCTTTCTCTTTCAGCTCAAAGTTCTGCTCTGTTTTGCTGTGACTCAGCTTGAAAAACACCCTCCAGCAGTCAGCTGGTAGTATAAAATATATTGTTAAACTGTGTCTTTGATGGAGGGTGAACAAAGGGCAGTGCAAGAACATACAGTATGAAACGCATCCTATGAATAGGTGCCCATCCCACAAAAAGTGCAAATCAGGAACTGTCTGTTTCCATTAGCACAGGAAAAGAGAGAAATGCTGAAATTAGCCTAAATTCAAAGACTTCTGTCCTTACTGAGGAAGGATACTAAGTTCTGCTGGTCAGCTAAACAGGTTCAGACTGGAAAAAAAAAGAGCTAGGTGCTTTCTCAATTTTGTTTATTCATTTTTTTCCAAGTACGGTATGAAACGTTTAACTCTTGATTACAACTAAACAAGTGAATTTTCAGTTCAATAAGGTGAATTTATGAACTATTTTAAATATTCTACCAGGCATATAATCAGTTTACATCTTTATACTTTTATTGAGCCATTTCACACTTAATTTATATATATTTAAGAGATGTTTACACCACATGTAACAGGGTTAACAATTTTACAGTTAAATTTGACATTACTTTGTGCTGAAGCATGTGAAACTGCAAGGTGCTTCTCAGAAAGAGAATTCAGTGCTGATATTTCTCCATATTTATTTATGAATTGTTTACTGTACAAAATGATAATGACAGGGTTGACATGTACAAAGAGTTAAGAGGTTGTAAGATATTTCATTACAAATGTAAGTAAAACAGGCATTTTTAACTTGTAAATCATTCAGATCATAAGAGAATGATGTCATTATATATTTTATATGGATATATGAATTTGTTAATTTCTAAAATTGGAAAAATATTACCATAATAGGGTTAATGCATAAAATGCAGAGTATTTTTTTTTTTATTATACATTGTCAAAATGCTAATTTTGTTTTAATATATAGAATTTGGAAATATGGGGTACTGGGGTTCTCTATTTTGTCTTTTGTTGATGCATGAAAGTAAGTGCTTGGAGACAGACCTTCCCATTCATCATGCCTCAGGCCCTGTGAGGTGTTTAGAGACACTGGATGCCTGAGGGAAAGAAGACAACTCACTCGAGAAGAAGCACACATTCCAGTCAAAGCGAATGACTTCACGATATGGAGACTGCTTTCTTTGCCTTGTTCAAAGCAATCTCTTTAGAGAGATTTTATGAGCGATAAAAGCCTCGTTGACATGGTGGATTACTCCAGTACACCCTGTCTTGATTATAATGCAGACCATATTTATGGCCTTGTTTTATCAGAATGCCTGCCATAAAGACAGCTGCATGACCTGAAAGTGTACGGTTGCCTTGACTGAGAGAGCTTTGTAGATTTTGAACCAGGACCAGCTATGTACTTTTAGCCAGAGATTAGCATTAATTAGTTATATAAACAGACGCTATAGCATGATTAGAGATGACTTTTGGGTGGGTCACTTGGACTGTTAGAGGGTACATGTGTAGTACTGCTCCAGCACACAAGTTAAAGCACGACAGTTAAACACACACACACACACACACACACACACACACGGAATGCCCTTCAGTGGCTAAGAATGATAGCATTCATGGTCACTGTAAAGATAGCATCAGAGCCCGAAGAGGGTTTTATGTATGACAAGTAACTAGTGTGATTGTTTTCTCAAGTTTCTAGTCTGTCTACAAGTTAGTTGTGCCTTAATGCAAGACTGAATCTTTTGGATAGCATCGAAAATGATTTTTTGTTTGCAAAAACACTGCACTGCCCTTGTGAACGTGTGGTTAATTGTATTGAATGTGCAGTTGTAGTGTACTTCAAATCTTAAAAGTATATTTTTTAAAAGTGCTCTCAAGTAATATAATATTAATGAAATAAAAGGCCACGCTCTTAAAGAAAGCACACTTTCATGATTTTTATGATTCTTAAAACACTCAAGTACACAAAAGTGCAGTTTGTAATAATAAAGTTAAAAGTTTGTACATTTGAAATTATTATTTTTTAATAATCTTTTGTCATGCTTTAAAAAAACATACACTTATTTTGATTTGATTTGGATAATTCTTTGATCATCAACTGTGTATTGTGTATTTAAATACGTCATGCAAGTTTCAGTAGAAATTAAATTATATTTTGTTTGCCTGAAACGCTTGTCAGTACATTTGTGCATGCAGTACACATAAACCATACAGTATTTCAAAGACAATAGAAGTAATTATGAAATTACATATAAATAAGTCCTCCTTAAGTGGATAAAAAAATACACTTCAACTAATTGCATTTAATATAAATGCAAACTATATTACTACATTTTCATTTAAGTGTCCAAAAACATTACATTCAGTTCACACTTATTATACATTACTTATGCATATTCTTTTAAATAATATTATATCTGTAATAGTTACTCTTTTTAAAAGTATGCTTAAGGTCACTTTTTCACAAGGGTGTTCTAGAGTGCTAGTATTTAAATTTAGCCCTATTTAAAGTTTATGGAAGACTTTAAACAGAACTAGATGTGTGTTTTATAAATAAAATCATTCTTGTGAACAGACTATGCATGATTGAGTGCTTCTCTGAAGGGAGGTGAGAGCTTGGCATGAATATGAGATGAGATGTGGGATAATTATTGTGTGAGAGATAGGTCTTTCCCTCGCTGCAGAACAGCCCACGGTACAAGCATCTTTGTTTCCTCTTGACCTTATTCTGTGATAATTCTCTTGTGTTTAACGGATTCCCTTTCACATTATTCCCACTGAGATGTATTTGTTGTGTACATGGTACTATGACAAGACAACTGTTCCTAACAGACTTTTGCTGCTTGAGGTAGCATGACCAGTCTAGACCTTCTCCATTCCTTTTATCTGCACTCGGTTCCCACAAAATGCCAGCCTTTTTTAAGCAAAAAGGTCCCCCTGGATGAACTGGAACATTTACCTTTGCAACAGGTAGGCATCTGTTCTGTGGGAACATTGTTCAGTGCAGCATTATGTGGTCAATGGTTGAACCGAATTGTGCTTCGGATGGGTCCTAATTCAAATGCTGGCAGGCTGCTGCCTTGCATGTTATTTGAGCCCAGTCCATTGCTGATGAGGCTATCACTATTCCCAATGGGCCATGAGGACCCATCAAAAGCCCTTCTCTCTCCTAAAGGTTTTGTTGATCAGGCTGACCGGTCTTAATTGTAATTCTGGTTCAGTGTGAACAATGGCTATTTCATTGCTCAAAGTTTGCTGTCAAGCCATTTGGATGAGGTCCATGAACAAGCTTTGGGCTGCTCAGTTGTGTTGAGAAAACACAAACACTACTCAGCTAGAACTGGGTCTTTGTGAGCTTGTGTTTCATTTAGCCTCAATCTGGACGGAATCAATGCAAATCAGTGTACTTCAACACTGAGCTTCTTAATGAGTCTTTGTCAAAGCTCATGCACCACAATTCCTTATTACTCTCACATCACGTTCTAGACATTAGCCATACAGAAAAAAGGCTAATAACAATAAGCTGATATTGAAACACTTTGACTTCTACTTCCCTGTATACACAAAAACAATATTTCTGAAAACAGTTGTCACCGAATTTGCCTACCATTTGTAAACAGCATTTTAGGTTTTTGAATATGGCTTCTACAGTGTAGACATTTCATAAAGCATTTATGCATGTATGTATGTATGTCAGGGATAAAAGTGCACCTGGGAAACTCACACTGTCAGAAACATAACACAGAAGTAGCCTAAACTAAATAAATAATAACATTGTGAACTGTAAACTCAAATAATTAAATCTGAATTTGAAATGTTGAAAATTATTCATTTTTATCACTTATTTATACATGATTTATACTATAACTATATGTTTGCGTTAAATAATGCAAACCGTAAAAAAGAGTGAAT